TTATAGTCCTTATCCGAGAAGACTTGTTCTACCACCAGAACCATAGGCGAGCGTGCCGTTCGAACCAGCGCCGATATTATGGCTATAGCTTGCGGCGCCCCTGCTAACCGCTCGGCCATTCGACTCTCCAATGAAGTATGATGTACATACTCAAAAGGTGGTCACATAATAACATAACAGTAACTAAAACTCTAAATCTAAATTAATCAACTGCTTCTTCACTAAATATGATAGCATTGGTTACTCATAGCTTTCTTAATGTATAAAATGAGGATTATGAAATTACACTGTTTAACGTCTACAATAAAGATTATAAATCACAGGAATTCTTATTCTCATCTCACAAGTATACATGTGTGTATGCAACACCTTGATGTGATCTCTGACCTTGAGAATGTCATTTGCTATTAAGACACAGAGGACGCTGTCTAAGACTAAGAGATTATCAAAAACATTACATAAACATAGTAATATTAATAAAATACTATAATTTATATTAATACATAAATTTTGAGTGTTTTAATAATTTTATGATGATGATGCTTCCAATAATAATATTGTATCCGTTTATTGTTTTCAATGTTTATCAATAATTTACTTTGCCTTTTACTGTCTGTCCATGTCTTTCATTGTATGCAGCAGGCAAAAAGAATTTATTTCATCACATGTTTGGTTAATGATAATAAAGCAATCTTGAATCTTAAATATTTTATTAAATGAAGGTATTGCAGTTCCATTTGTGATGTGGAAGATAAAAATAAGACCAATTCAATAACAATTTGCTTACAGCTTGAGCTGTGGCTGATCTAGGATTAAAGAATGGAGGATGGCTAGGTAGTGTATACAGGTTGTTCATGGAGGCCTCGACCCCAGAACTTTCCACATCCTGAGGTCTGTTAATGATGTTGAAGTCTCATACAAATAAATATAATAATTCTGGCTTTTCTGTTGACAGATAATATCAACAAGACCAGATGAAATTATTTGATCATATGATGATAATGATTACATAAACAGCAGCACAGTATCAGTAGTGGAGTCTAATATGTGAGAAGAGAGTCCATGGCTGGGGTGAATGAGGGTGGGAATGAGATGAGCTTAATTGTAGGTTATTTGGTGAAATGTAAACCACTCCACAAAGCATCTTGAGTTTATAAATGTTAACTTTGTTTCTATTACTTGGTATAAAGGGATTGCTCTAGTCTAGGCCTATGTATTTTTGTGGGAAATGTTATCCATCCTATTCACTTTTCCCCATCCTAGATCTATCCTTGCTTGAGTTTTTTAAATTGCTGTTGTTGCTGCTTGATTGATTGACAAAGATTTTGAAGACCACCGGTACAGTAATATTAGCACAACAAGCGATTGTCTTATAATCAATACTTATGATTGAATCTTTGCAAGATATAAAAGAAAATTGCTGCACTGATATGTACATATAATATTTCTTTTATGATAATTCTTGTGATTATTTTTGCCTGATACTTTCTATGAAGTATTTTGAAGTAGAATGATTGATATTGATTTGTTTTAAGTTTTATGTGTTATTATTTTTACAGACCAATCAGACGCCACATGATCTCTATATAAATAATAAATGTCAGAGGTATGATTCTACAAATAAAGAAAAACACAAGGAAGAAGTCTTGCAACTTCTGCAAGGTGAGCAGTTTATACAATTTAATTATTCATGTTATTGTTTATTACCTGTAGGTCAATGTTATTTTATTTCCTGCTTATATTAATTGGATAATATTGATTTATTATTATCTGCTGTAAACAATGTTGTGGGTCATTTCATTTAATATTTGTCACAAAAAAAGAAACAGCAAGGAACAGCACAAACAAAGATGAGACGGGACACACCAAAAGTGAACTTTTAAAGTTGGGGTCCTTTATATCACCAAAATAATTTTGATCTAGAATATCATAAGAGTCAACTTCTAAATGTTATTATTATTATTATTATTATTATTATTATTATTATTATTATTTGTTTTAATACAGTATTGTTGATGATGATTATGACAATAACGGTGAAAATGATAATATTTTTAAGACAATAAGCAAATCATCTTATTTTTTATAAATGATTATTTCCCTATATCCATTTCTATTATAATAATATTTGAAATTTTATAATAATGAGTCATTTGCCTTAGGATTGTGTTTTCTTAATTATTTTAACTTTTAAAAAGATTTTTATTCACATGTAACCTGTTTATGTTTTTTCTTTGTACTTTTATTGTTAAAAAACAATATTTTGCCTTTGTAAATTAGACTTTGGAGTTCCAGAGGTAATTTTAGCCAGAGGCAGTGAGGCTCTGAAGGTTTTTAATGAGGAATTACAAGAAGGAAGGATCACAGTAAACCATGCACGATTAATGGTGACTGGCAAAGAGGGGGTGGGAAAGACTTGTTTGGTAAACACTCTGCTTGAAAGAACGTAAGTTTCTGAAGTGCTGTATCTGTCAATGGATTTCCAATATAAATGTTGCTGTATTGCTGTACTTTTTTATACAAGTATTGTATTTTATTTGCTTTCTATATATTAAAAAAAAAATAGTGTGATGCCACGTAAATATTATTGTTTCAAACATGCATGTACTTAATTGTCATTACCCATACATCCAACAGCATGTTTTGTTGTATATACTGTACTATAGACTATATGTCGGAATTTATATCTAACACCTCTTTTATATATATATGTTTGACTTTTTAAAATTGTTCATGCGATGTAATATTGAAATGTAGTTTCCTTTCTGACAATAAAGTTATCTTGTATCTATTCCTCCATGTAACCACAACTCAATCATGGCACTTAAATACTACAATATGTACATATACAATTCAAAAATTCAAGCAGTAATTAGACTGTTCTTTCCACAGATTTAATGAAGAAGAACCATCGACTGATGGAATAGTGTTGACCACTGCTTTTCAAACTGCTGATATAAGTAGTGTGTGGAAAGAGGCAGAGGACATGGACGGTATGACAAGAAACAATTTAACTTTAAAATTCTATTCTCATTTGTTGTGACTCAAGCTTTGATGAATTTCTTTATCTTTTATAGAATGTGATCGGATCAAAGATATATTTGATAATGCATTAGAAAGTAAAGTTGCCGAGAAACTGAAACAAAAAGGAAGACGAGTAGAGGCAGCTGAACCAGTACAGGCATCAGCAGGAAAGTCAACACCTGTACCTCCACTTGTACACGCCCCTAAAAAATCAAATGTCTTTGTACGTGTATTTCAGCGGTTAACTAAAAAAGATGGTCGCAGGAAACCAGTTACCTCCTCTACACCTGTATTGCCATCTGTGCATGTTCCAGTTGAGGTAGGACATAATATAGTAATAGTATGTGTGTTCAGAGTGTCTTCAACAGATGATCAGATAAATTATTACAACTGTGGGATTTAATGACACGTTTTTAGTAGATTTGCATTATTTCAGCCTTCGTCACTGAGACTCAATGTCTCCCACAGCATGCATTGTTGTTCTTCTGTATATTGCCTTGTAATATATTTCAAGTTAAAATAATTGTGTACACCTCTGTCGCTATATACCTCTGGTTAACAATTGATTTGATTTAATATATTTTAAAATTCTGAACAAAACAATGTACTGTATGTAAACACTCATTTTTTTCTTGAGCCATCAGAACAATACAGTGTAAACATAATTGTTTTTGCCCCAAGACCTTTACTCAGAAATACAAATATTGTATATCATTGGGGATAGTTTTCCTATTATATTCCTAGTGGGGGACTTCTTTGCAAATTATATGGATGTACACTTTTGCAGTGCTTTAATGCAATAGTATAATAATGCTAAAATATGTTTATTAACCGACTTCATTAAAATATAATACACTATCATTTTTTTATCAGGAAAAAATTATAAAATTAAAATTATTAATATTGCATTATTAAAATTAAAAACAATACAAGTATAATTGATAATTTGTAAGTAAGAGATTATGGCATTAAAACATTTGGAAAACTAACATTTTTTAATGTTATATCCAACAACTAGCCAATAAAATGTAGCAGTTATGTAATTAAATAATAATTATATTATTTTAATTCAACTAAAGACTAGATGATATATTTCCAAGAATACATAGGATAATAAGGTAATGAATGTCAAAATCATCTTGTTAGTAATGTTTTCTAATATTTGAAAATAATTACATTCTGTGTCTTTCCATAGAGAAAATAGAACAGTTTCTCTATGGTCTTTCTAACATGATTTTTAATTAACAGACAAAGGTCAATGACCCAAGCCAAGCACTGCCATCAGAAAGGCAAAAAAGAATAATTGACAGAATGATTGGAATGGCCTCTGCATCAACTAGTAATGAGGACATGACTTACATTTGGGACTTTGCTGGCCAGCAGCTCTACTATATTACACATCGAGTAAGTACTCAATTTAGTTGTATACTCTACTAATAGGATCTGTGGCAGGATTCCCAGTGTAAGCAGTAATCCTTCCCAATGCCGGAAATATTTTCTTGCAATTTTAACGTCATTCATTTGGATGAGATGATTTCTGAAGAACAATTACAGAACCTATAAGAAAAGTTAGATCATCAATTAAGAAGAAATTTTTGCATTTTCTTTTAGATATTCCTAACAAGTGAAGCGGTGTATTTGATTTTGTTCAATTTGATGGAAGGTATGCACGACAAGGGGAAGTGTAGAGTCTCTAAAATGGTAAATTTTTGTTTCTTTATAATGGTGGTTTTGTGGATGTGAGTGCTATATTTAAACATTCATGTCAAAATCTTGTAATTTTTTTCTTCTTCAGGAAAAACAAGATGTGATGACATATGATATGACAAATGTACAGATTATCAAATACTGGATGAGGTTGATATTTACTTATGCTGTCCCTGTTGAGTTACAAACACAGGCTACGCTGCAAGCCAAGAAACCTCAAATTGTGGTGGTTGGTACTCATGGCGAGAGCCTACAGGGTACCGCTGAAGACAAGAAAAAGAAGGTAAAATATAATCGGAACTTGTGACATAATTAATTGATTATTAACATTTTGAATATTGTGTAATGCTCATATATTGTTATTCAGATTGAAGAACAGTTTGGTATAATATTTGAAGAAATTGAAGGCACTCCATATGAATGTCACGTGGTGAGGAAAATGTACGCCATCGACAACAAGTTTCCAACGCAAAGCGAGATGCTGACAACACTTAAACAAGATGTTGGTGGATTTCTGAAAGCAATGCCCAAAACCATCCCACTCAAATGGCTTGAATTCCAGCGTATTTTGCAGGAGAATGGTAGGACAGCAGTGCGAATGAGTTATTCTAAGGTATGTAATCACTGCCTAAAACGTTTATAAACATTAGAAACAATTGTTTAATACTTAACCCCAACTCCCTTTCTGCCCTTCCCCTCTCCAAAGGACACTCCATTTATTATCCATCCAAGAAAAATGCACTCTAAAGTGCCCAAGCTTACCTTTCTAATGGTAAGCAAAAGTGTTCTGTTTACACTTCACATTTTATTTTATTTATGTTATACTTTTTAAAATTCTATATTAAGGTCTGTGAAGTTGCCACTAGCTGCGGAATTTCTGTGAAGAATCTGATCCACACCCTCAACTACCTACATGATCTTGGAATCATTTTGTACTTTGAGAACAACAAACTACTGAAGGACACAGTGATAACAAACCCACGGAAGCTGATTGACATCTTCAGGAAAATCATCACAGTGGTGAAACCTGATGACATTGATAAGGTGAGTTAAGTAGAAATTCCCTGCCTGACGTCATGCATTCCATACGATAACAGTGTGATAACATGTTTGAAATTATCATTATTTTCAGTGGGCTTCATTGATCAAGCTGTGGAATAAACTTGATAATGAAGGTATTCTGGAGGAGAAGTTAGTCAGACATCTTTGGAGAGATGAGCTAAGCAAAGATGAAACTAGCTTTAAGGTCTTCTTGGAATTAATGAAGCAGTTTGGACTGCTCTGCGAGCAGATCAAGGTACTGTATTTAAAGTTAATTTTTTCTGACAACTCAATGATGAATTCAAAAATGACAATTTTATCTGCATTACATGACGTTTATACTGCTGGAAAAACTTATCTCAATCAAAAATATCTAATGTAATATATCTAACTGTAAATGTGGTTTTTTTTTTCATTTTCTGGAAATTTAAGCAATTTGTTGAATTTGGTATCCTATAAATTGCTTACAGAAGAATGATAAGAGCACACAACTCTCGTTTTTTGTACCCTGTCGATTGAAACATAGCAAGAACAGCATGATTATTCAGCCAGACACGGATCAGATGGTGTCTATCTATATGGCCTCTGAGGATTTCCTTCCCGATAGTATCTTCCATCCTCTGGTTGTCAGTTTAATTGTAATGGTACAAGACATGGGCTACACGGCTGAAACAAAATTGTACAAAAACATGGCAAGCATCGGCCTAGGACATGATCACAATCTCAAATTAGGTCAAGTAGTCATTGATAACAAGCCCTCGTTAAAGGTAAGATGCCATTTGATGTTATCAATTCGTTATTTAAACAATGTGTGATGAAGTAATAAATCAAAACAGTAATTGTTCAATAATAAATAGTAGTGCAGAAATGTTAAAAATATGTAATTAGTCAGGGGGCAATGTGCATGCAACCCCAAAAAAGATAAAAATGTTCCACTGGTGTAGGCCTAACCCTGTCTAGTACTACAATGGAAAATTTTAGGGCAGCAAATAGAACTCGATTAGGCCCACAAAGTACACATAGGTCTATTAACCTATGATATGACGAGTCCTAAACAAAATAAAAACTCAATTTTTTTATCCCAAATGTGTATAAACACTACAGTAATTTCTTTCCACTAGGCGAATTTGCCTAAAATGCGATTTTGTTTTTCACATGCATGGGCAGTTCAATATCTAACTACGAAATTCTTCACTACGTATGCTAATGACTATGAACATAAATTCATGGTTCGCACTATTGGGCTGACTGCATAACGTTTTTTGTGCTAGTGGTTTGTGACATTAAAACGGAAAAATGTGCAGTAAACACTAGAAATGTTATCACACTCTTATTATTCTTAATAATAAGACGAAAAACTTGGTTAATGAGATAAAAAGCACTTAAAGAAATATAGATTTTTTTATATTAAAAAGTTGGGGAAAATACAGAAAAAGGGTAGATAGTTGGAATTATCAAATATCATTGACGTTGGGCTCCAAACTCTGCCTGACCAAAAAAAAAATCCTCAAACAGTATTCTTCCGTTACAGTAAAGTACTGGGGAAATGTATAGTCAAAGCAACAGCCTAATGTGAATTAATGGGTTTTAAATGTTATCAGGCTACTTTCTCATAATTCTGTTTAATAATTTCAGTGGCAGATCCAGGAATTTGAAATAAAGAAGCCCAGAAATGGACATTGAGAAATGGAGGGTCTGTCCACCTCACCCCCACCATGGTTGGTGGTGAGGTAGATAAAATTTACGAATGATACCACCTATAGGTGGCCGAAATGGCACTTACAGAGTTTTTTGCTTATACACATCTCATTTTGAATATTGTGTAATGCTCAAGTGCTGTTTTATATAACATAATGAAAATGAAACAATGTGTAACAAGAAATTAAGTTACAGACAAACAAAGTATTATCTTAATTATGATATTGTACTTTATTTTGTCAAATCACGATACAAAATTAAGAACTCAATCGTGCTAAAAAAGACATGAAAATACATCACAAAACACTAGAAACACTGGAGCAGCGCTGGGAGCTTTTTCCCACACTCCCACCCGGGGCCCTGTCCGGCCCTGCCATGCTGGGGGCCAAGGGCCTTCGGCCCCTTCATTATGCCACTGATCCTTTGTAGTTTTGCGTTTTCAATTTTTGCACCTCATTACCCCCACCCCCAAGATACAAACTACGCTACGCCCCTGCTGTTGCACAATATAATGTACTAGATTATATTCTTCTTCGATCCCTGAAATTGAAAAAATATGACATGGATCTGTAACCTAAAATATATGCAAGTATTTAATATTAAATCTTAAAAATTAAAAGTAAATTTTAATTACAATTATCTCTTCTAAAACCCCTAGTTGCTTGAATGTGATTTTTAATTACTGCATTATGTTACATTACAATAAAAATATTTGGGTTTGTATTATTAGCTGGAGATATCACGCATGGCTGAGGTGGATGAGGATGGTACAGAGACATCAACAGGTGAACCCAGTCCTCGAGTTTGTATGCAGGTAATTTACTCATTGTTTTACATACAAACACAAATAAATAATAATTTTTGTAATAATAATCAAACTAATAATAATAGTAATAATAGTGTACATTTGTTATGTGCCAGTATCCAGCAAAGACGCTCATGGTGCAAAATGATATGGCAAATGTTATTAACAGTCGGTAATCTTAACTACGAATGAATATAACAATAACCGTAACCATGGTGGGGTAAGCTTCTTGGGTGCCTTTTGTTACCCAAGGCAGAATACTTAACTCACTGAGACAAGGAATGTCTTGAGTTTCCATTTATGGGCTGCCTCTTAACGGGGTTCCACACCGCTGCCCTTAAATTTAATGATAATGTTTTGAAATAAGAAAAATCAATTGATAGCGATGAAGAACAACTTTAGTTGATAATGAGAGATTTAGAATCATGGACACAGTTCCATTCCATCTGGAAACACGATTAATTTTGCATAACTAATGTTGCTATAATTTTGTTATGATTTAAATTGTTCATTGTTTTGGTAATTCTTTTTAAGATGTTAGAGTTTCTGGAGCAGGAATTGAAAGTGTTGACATCAGGAATGAAGCACACAAATTATAGGTTCCATGTCCTTTGCTGGAGAAGGTCACAAGAAATGCACTTCCACAACTTGGAAGATTGCTTGAAGAGAAAGTCCATCCGTTGTGGCGAAAAATTGGTTAAAACAAGCAAACTACAGAGAATGTTCAGGAATATAAAACCAGAGACAGGTGAGTAGCATAAACTGAGCAAACCCACTATCACGGATGATGAATCCAGAATTTATTTTCAAAAGGGGGGATTGAGGGAATGTATTTGTACCATGTCATTTGTACGAATTGAAATTGAAAAATGTTGTGTCAAAATTGGGCAGAGTGGTTGGTGGTGGGGTGAATTGTTTCACCCCTGACCATAACGTAACAGTTTAATATGTGGTCTGAATAAGGCTCTGATCTGAAAAACAGTTTCAGTTAATTTAATCAAGTACTATTAATGTTTCATTAATTTATTTGTTGCAGATTCTTCAGTAGAAGCAGCAAGTCTCAGAGATGAACGAACAGCGCCACCAGGTAGGTCTTTCAACATTATCATTAGAATTTTGTGACTCATGGATTATATTTTCATTTTTTATTCATTTTATACTCTTATTTTTATTTTAGATGAGACTTTTGGTTATCTGGAAGATAAGCACCTGGCTCTTATCGCCAAAGGCATGGGACGGGAATGTAAACAACTGGGTGTCAGACTGGGGCTCAGTTGGAACAGGATCCAACAAATATGGAATGATAACAGACGGTTGACAGAGTCCATAATGGATATGCTTACAGAATGGAGGAAACAACAGAACTACGAGACAAATCAAGTTGAAATAATGCACAGGGCTTTGAAGGATCAGGGACTGGCCGAGCTTGCCAACAACATTTTTGGCTCACAAAAGTCAGACAGTCAGTCATCCAGTTTAAAAGCAGTTAAAGTACTTACTAGTCGACAGTTACATCACAGACACCAGAAATATGATGGTAGGTAATTTATCCTGAAAGTGCAATCTATCAGAGCAGGTTGTTTGACTTTAAGGATAAAATACTATGGACATGTTTTCCTAAATTTTTCTGATTTCCATAGATGATGGAGTCTTGAGTTTACAAAATAATTTTTCAGTTATTTAAAAAGGATTGTCAAAATAACACAATCTATTATATACATTTCTTAGATGTAATTTTCAAAATGTTTCATATCAATACAAAACAACATCCCTTCAATGCTTCTGTTATTATCATCTTTTCACTGTGTAAACATGGCGCATTCTACCAATCTCTTCCAGTTACTTCTGTCATGGCCAAGTTTTAATATTGATGTTTACTTTTGTTTAGGGTACTTAGCAGACATTGACATGCAATTTATTGCGAAGGAGCTTGGCAAAGACTGGAAATCCTTTGGCAGCATCATTGGTCTGAAGGAAGCTGAAATAGAAAGAATTGAGATGGACTTTTCACCACCAACTGTAGACGCAAGTCTGGAAATGCTGGTCAAGTGGCGAGAAAGGCAGAACACTGAAGTAAACCACCTTGGAGAGATGTGTGATGCATTGGAAAAACTTGGAAAGGCAGCTGTTGCTCAAGCACTCTGGGAGTACTACCAGGAAACTTATAAACTATAATGCAAGAACATTTGTATGTATGCGTTGGTGACGAAATTTTCAAAAGACAGTTACACAGTGATTAGGCCAGGGGCTAGTTCCTTCCCTCCCTTCAGCGAGAACAGGGCCCCACTACTGCATTTACAATTCTCAATAGAGTTTAATGCCACAGCAAATAATGACACCAGAAGATGTGATATAATATAATTAGGAAGTAAATGATGTGATATATTATACAGTATATATAGGGAATACATGAGTTAGTATTGTACATTTTGTAAATATTGAGATATAATATATTAAATATATTACAGTATATTGTTGTTTAAACATCGAATCATATTTTTGTGATTGCCAATTTGCTTTACATGAATTATATATTTTTATTATCGCAATAATTAAAATACATTTATAATATAATGCAATTATAAATTACACTTTGTCATTTCATATTTATATATTATTGTTTATTTTGTAACTTGTAAGTTTTAAGTAACATTTTTAATACTGAAATGCTAAACATTTTTTATAAGATTTTTAAAATATTTTTAGAATGTCATTTTCAAGAATGAAGAAGGATATCCTAATTTGATTGCAATGTTTTGATTACATATCTTGGTTCCTGTATATTTAAGATACCACAGCCTTCCTAATCATTCCAGTAGGATGCAGTTTTCTTTCACTATAACAACTTTTATTCAAAAATTGTAATTCAACTGAATACCATTTACTGTAGTTTCAACAATGCTACCCAGAGGGATAGTTGCATTGCGCCACATTTTCAAGGCAGTCGAAAATGTACCGAGTATAAAAAAAAAACCAGTAATCTATCAGTATCGGACAACACCCTACAATACCAAAGCTGTGATCCAACTGGCTCTTCACCTTGACACTGTCAGCTGTTATGGCAATACCCATACCCCCACCTGGTCCATTTTTGGTTATCTTTGCTACAACACAGAATGGTCAAATCCTTGTCCCTGTTTCAAACTGTAACAGGTACATACACATTATTGATATCGCAAAGTATGAACTGTTGGCTTATTACTTATTGTGTATAGTATTTTCAAGATTATTATTATTAATAATTCTTTATTCGTTCTCATTCTACTTGGAAATTTGAGCGTCGCCTGATTTATATTATTATTTGAAATGGTCAATTTGAATTTGTTACCATTTTTATTTATTGAGGTTATCTTTCTATCAAATTTGTAAATTACATAATTAGGCTTTATTTTTGCAAATTGCAAGTTTTTAAATAAAATAAAAATTGATAAATTGATTGATTGGTGAATGAATGATTCTTATTGTGCTGTATGCATTGGCGTTTGTGAACAGTGTTGCTAACCAATCTGAAGATATGAGGAAGCGTTTTTTGAGGCAGTTTTATATATGTGCCCAGTTAGGCTACCAGGGGTTGTCCACTGGGGCCAGAATGTGAGGACTTCCACCTCCCCTCTACCTTTCCAGAAGCAAAAAGCACAATTATTAACCTGATTAAATAAGGTTTTCAAATCTATAGGCCTAGTCATACCTTCCAGGGATTTGGAGGTATTTTTTTGTTTGCCGTTCATTATAAAAAATATCTTAGGAATATTTCCCCTTCCCAACGGGCAAATCACCCCTATAGATGACTTTAACAGAAATGTATAGAGATGTTGACATTAAAAATCGTTCTGCAAGTATTGGTTTTTTTACTGCATGAAAGATATGTTGAGTCTGCTAGACGCATACCAACTCGTTGAAAAACTTATACTGTTAACGAATTCACTTGCATAAACACCGTGATTTGAATAAACTTCCCTTCTAAAACGGCCTCTTCTAAAAATCCCCCTCTATAGCCTTATTTATAATAAATGGATGATGGTGATAATGTTGACAATCATGATGGTTACGATGATAATTATGGTGATGATGGTGGGCCAGCGTTTGTTTTTATTTCATGCTCAGAAACTCAATTAACAATAGAATCTACATTTTTAAAAAAACCAGGAAATTACAGGAAAAAAATTACATAATATTAAACATTCTCAAATACAAAGAAAAACATCAAAAAGTAAAAAGAAATTACAGTTCAACCAAAAAAAATAAACAAATAAATAAATTAACAACAAAAGAAAGAAAGATATCTCCAATCATACAATGAACCACATGAAAAACGAGAAATAATAGTAATAAAGATAATATAACTGATAAGGTTAGAGTGCATTGGATGACCCTTTAAACCACCGGAAGTTTGTTTCCAAAGGGTCCAGAAAAAATATTAATTAAAAGTAAATTTTAACAAAAGTAAACAAATATGTAAATAAAGTGACAAAAAAAGTACTGATATATTTTATGAAACAACATAACAAGCATCTTAATCAAATATAAAGTTTCTGTTGTTGGGACGAATACATTTTAACTTTGTTTTAAAACACTTCTGACACCAATAGCCCTAATATGTGTGGGTAAAATACGTGTTCCATAAATGTATACTGTTAAAACCAAAAGCGGTGATATAAGTGTTTTTTTTTTTTTTTATGCCCCTTGGAAAATCTGAGTGTCAATCGGAAACCTTTCTAAACTCATTTAGCATTCTGGTGCAATACCATGATATACAGGTATATTAAATATAACGATTTAGTTGTATTGCTTTAAACGATATTCAACATTTAGAAAGCCTACTAAATGAAGATAAAAAATACCATTACGAGCCGTAAGAAATAGTTTGACACTAGTTTTTGGCCTGATCAATTCACCAATGTCGTTGGTATGCCAAAATTGTTCTTTTGAATCAACATTTTATTAAACACAATTGCAGTATGGCCTGACTTAAGCTTAACTCTCAAGCATCCAGGTCCGGCTCTTCTCAATGTCTACACTATGTCAGCACACACACCCACCCACAGCCACACACACACACACACACCCACACCCACACACACACGGAAGGGATATTATAAAGCTAGGCTCCGGAGTAAAAATTTGTTTTGATATGTGCAACTGAATTTACTAAGCCACAAAAAGCATTTGAAGAAAAAATCGGGAGCGGTTAATGAGACATATCTTGGAATATTTCAAAAATGGGGAAAAGGGGATTAGTTATACCCCTTTCCCTCCATGTGATATTAAGAATTTATATTCATTCACATGTATTGTCACATTTTAAAAACGAATGCAAGATAAATCAAGCAAATGCATATGGCAAATAGGAGGTTCAAAATAGGATGTCTCCTATCACGTTTAACTCCTTTTACAATTAGTACAACAAATATATAAAACATATTAAACGTTTCATAAATTATCAACACTGCTAGAAGAAATTACATAAGATTAAAAATCATTCAGCAATATACTGTACTTTTCAAGTAAATGTATTTTAAATCAATGTATTAAATATCGAGAAAGTTGATTCTAATGCCCCTTTATAACATATTCTTAATTTTTCTATAACGTGGTACCTGGCTTTACATCAAGAATTTTAAGTTTATAAAATTGAGGGGGTAAATGTGCTCTAAAAACTGAAAAAGTTATACATCTAGCATGGAGGTATTTTATATCTAGCGACCATTTTCGGGGGAATTCAAGATACAAGGTACGGTATGACACAAAACACTTCCCCATGCCTCAATTCCATAAATAATATTTGGATAAATGAAAGAATTATAAAGCATAATTAATGTTTTCATAGGAACAAAATGTCTTAATCTAAACATAATTCCAGATTTTTTCATGAATATTTTGAATGTGGGCTTTCAAGGTGAGAAATTTTGCAAATTAATTGGACCAATCTCTGCCGGCCTTGCTTAGTTACGCCAGCTTGCACTGTTGACAGGTTGTGAAGTGTCCCACGATGTTTCAGCGCAGGTGCGAGGCTGAGGCTATCGGCACTGCCGCAGTGCGAAAAAAGCTGCTGTTTTCTATCGGCACTGCCGCAGTGCCAAAAAGCTGCTGTTTTCTATCGGCACTGCCGCAGTGCCAAAAAAGCTGCTGTTTTCTATCG